AAGGGTGTCTGAAAACTTCTTAGTTTGAGGAAAACATAAAACTCCTTTCAAACTGAGCCAGCCATCCTCAGCTGCCATTACTGATCAGCTCAGTTACAATGCGCTGGCAACAGGCACTCTCCAAATGTTGTTTTAACAGCTGAAGGAATCCACGGAAGGAAATAACATTTGTTACTTGAAGTATATTTTGATGCACTAATCTTAATTCTCTGCCGTTCAGCCAAGGTCTCTCAAAGTGTGCATTTTTTGGTAATGATTGCTATGGAGTGAGTGGCAGCCATCTGTAATGCTCCTCATCTGCCTTGTCCCACTTCTGTCCAGACACTGAACTTTATTTACATTCACTAATCACTGTCTGCTACTGAACGTGCTCAAATATGAAACCTTCCAAGCCAGTGTTTAACTATTGCTTAATGTCATAAGCGTTAAGACAGCGTTTGCCACAGGAGATCTAACAATGCAGATCTTTGGCTTAGCTGTGACTCTGGAAAACACTTAACGGAAAATCTGAAGGGAAATGTAGTTTAGCAATTGCTTATGGAAATTGCCTACAGACATCGTGGAAATGAGGGAGATCTACACTTGGGTAGCTATGCTGTTTACAGAGTGCGAAGCCTTTCCGAAGGGTCCGTGAAGATTGGCTGGGCTGCATGATTTTTGACTGCCTTATGCCACACAGGTGCTAGATAAAAGCAGCTTTTAGTCCTATTGCCTAGTGATCATCTGCTGGCACTGAAGAAACAACTGACAGATTTCTGTAGTTTTACAGATCTGCTTCAGAAAGGGCTCCTTTCTCATGCTGAGGCATAATTTGCTTTTCAGAGGGAAATGTGGGCAAGGCAACAAAAGCAGCAATAGCAATGAGAAGTTAAAAACAAACTTGTGGAGTTTTATCTGTTGAGGGAATTTAAGGCAGGTTTTAGGAGATAGAAAGCTCTCCTGCATCTGTATGCTGGTTTGTTACACTGCAAACTCTTCTTGTTAGCATCATAGTAGTATGTAGAAATCAGATTTGGCTTTTATTGCACTACATGTTGTGCAAAAAAGGTAATGAGATATACCTTCTTCACTGAGATTAAAACAGTCTCAGGGATGGATAAATAAATAAATGAGTATAGCAGGTATTATGGAAAATGGAGAGAAGATGAAAATTAAAATGAGGAATGTAAGCTTATGCAAAGTTTGCAAGGCTGACATTTTGTTATTACATTGAAAAAATCCAGGTATCACCTTAGCTGTAGGCATACATTTCTATCGGTGCAAGCGAGTGGAGCTTGCAGGGTCCTGTGTTTTACTCTGCCTTTTCCCAGTGTTGATAGGTTGACTTGGCAGTGTGATATAATATGTAAGAGTCTGCTTACTATGAGAGTAAACTTAAAATAGTAGAATTTGAGGTGATAGTAGGACGCTACACCTGGATGTAATCGTCCCAAGGTCAGGTGATGGCTATGACAGGATCTGGTAGCCATTCATATAGATTGAAGTATTTATTATTCAGATTTTATATAAAACCTGTATTAGTCAGACTAGAAAAGACATCTTTTCTTAATGTTTAAAGAGGAAGGTGTGGGATTCATCTCAGTTAACTTTACCAGCTCCAGGGTTACATGTCTCATGTAAACTGGTCACTTAAGGCTTTGTCTGTAGTCAGTGAAAAAATATGGGCAGCTTCAAAGCACTGTTCATCCCACCTGTCTCCAAACAGCTGCTTTAGGGTGTCTTTTTCTTTCACTGACATGAGAGAGAGAGCCTTGATCACCAGCTGAGAGTAGACACCTAATTTTTTACCTTTAACTTTGCCATGTGAATTCTCATCCATAACAACTGACTTGAGTAAAGGTCAGAGACTTCAGTCCTCTGTATAGCAGTCTAACAAACTCTCCTTGTGACTTTGAGCTAGACATTTCATCAGATATTTTCAAAATTAGTAGTTCTTGTTAAATGTCTGGCTCATGTCCACCTTCCATTTCCTCCTCCAGGAAGTATTACTTTCCAGCCTCTGTAGAGAGATTTGAAATTCATGAATAAAATGCAAAATAAAATAGTGCAGTGGGATTGTTGTTTATTCAGCTTCAAGTGGAACCAAAGTGTTTCTGGAGAAAAAAATCCCAAGTAAAATTATTTATAGTACAAATACACAGCAGTTCCTTGAGACTAATATTTTATGGTGGGTAGGGGACTGTTACAGCTCTGTAATTTCCAATAAGTCATTTTCTTCATCTTGTGCCCTACCTTTCTGGCATAGAAATGAACATCAGGAGAGCTTATGAGGCTTTCAGATTAAAGGTTACACTAAACCCAGTAATTTTCTCTCAGATGTTTATTGTACTGATGTTATTAGTCCCATGTCTGCTAGCCTCTGGACATTTTCCTTCCCAGGACCATCATCAAAACTAACTCTGGATATGACTGTGTTGTGAAAAATATAGTATCTGTAGGAAAACAAAACAACAAAACAAGACCACATTAAAATCTGACAGCCACATAGCATCAGTACTAGATCAGGCAAAGAATAAAGACACCAGCCCCTACTTCAGCCTCATACACTCACAGATAAACAGCCTGTCGCTGTTTATTCTTTTCCCACCAGCTCTAATGTTCCTGATTTTACGTCTTATTCAGTATTTGTGATAATAATTTGTGCCCTAATAATTTCTGCCTTGGTCAACAGTGCTAGTACCCCTGTTTGTGCTGTTTCTTGGGTTGCACTCCTGTTAGTGTAGCCCAAAGTCAAGGTGAGACATTTGCATATGGCATTACTATTTTTTTGCTATTTGTTATGCCTGGTAATTCTTCATGTTGTTATCTTGTTGGTGTAGCCATGGTTCAGGTCTGACAGTTTGCACCCAGAAGCTGGCCTGGTAAAACTGCTGATGGAAGCACCTTCTCCTTCATCTGCTTGGTCTGAATTTCCAGACCCAGCCCTTATGGCCAGCGATAGCCAGACCTTGAGGGAAACCTCACACTCATCTTCTGCTCACTGCCTGCCCTTCTCCTCTTAATAAGGCCACAATATATATGCACATGGTCCAGCCAGTTGCTGCATCTTCTGGCGTGTTGCTCTGTATTTCTTGTATTTTCCTTGTCTGCCTTACAGTGGTGGGATGCTCATCAACCCTCCTCTCCTGAACCAGGCAGTGTGCTGCTTTCTGGTGACTTCCTCCATTTTCTGCCTGGTCTGGCTTGTGAGCCATGTGGAGAAGCTGCCCACAAAGGGGGTTGTTATGTGCAGGCTGTCTTCCTGGAGATCGTTCATCTCCCATTTGTCCAGATTACCACTGTGGCAACTTGACCATGAAAACTGATTGAATGGGAATGGGAATGACTGTATTAGAAGGATCTGAGACCTATGCCAGATTTTTTTGTGAGGAAGTTGCTCTTCCACCAGCTAGAAAACAAAAAAAGAAGTGTTCAGAGAGGTTGTATACTCTAGCCACCCAGCTTAATTCAGGATGGTGCTCTGAAGACAACCTGCCAGCATACAAGGTTGCCTATAGAATTTTCCTTCTGATACAAAGTTAAAGTAAATATTTAGGTGTCACAGTGGACCTGCTTTCAGGTTTTCCTGGTTTTTTGCTAGGGAACATCAAGAAGAAGGGGAAAAAGTGCCTTGTCCAGTCCCTAAAGTAGTTGCTGCTGCTGTTACTACTCATCTGTGTGGTATATCTTCCTCCTTGGGCTCACACATGCACTACAGGGCATTAGAAGTTATTTTTTCCTGAGGCAGAAGGAGGGAAACCCAATCATAGGGCAGAATTCTAGACAAATTTTAATTACTCTCTCTGGTTTCATTACCTATTTTCTCTGAGCTTGCGTTTCCCTGCCATCAGACCATCATGTCACATTGCGGTCTGAGATAGCACCTGCAAACCAATCAAGTAAAAATATAATGAGGAGGATTAGAATTAAATTCCTCTATCCACACCAAAAAATGGATCTCCTTCCACATACAGCTGGCTCTTGATAAGTCATAAGACATATCACCATGCTGAGTAATGAGAATTATGCAGTAGTTTCTCTAGTGAAAAAAAAAGAGAATGTACACCCTGAACCTCATGATTTATTGCTTATTGACATTTTAGTAGGACAGTAGGTAATATTTAAGATTAAAAAAGGTAATGAATCTTTGAGTTCAGGTTTGAACTAAGTCCAAATTTTGAATGACTGTAGGGGTTTTTTATATTTTTGGCATAGTCCACTGCTTCTGGAAATGCCAATCTGCGGCAAGCTGATCATACTGCCACAATAACAGTGCTATGCAAACAAGATTTCTGTTTGGGTGCAATATGAAGGGTGAGCAAAGATTGTCCTTTAAGCTGTCCTTGTAGGTAAAAACAGCCCCCATCAAATTCAGCTTAGACCAGGACTTCATGAAAGAGAGAGATTTAACAAATCATTTGGCAAATATATTTAGAAGACACAAAATATGACTTTGAGATCATATCATTATGTGTTATTTGTTTAAATGTAGCTTGTCTACCCTGACTCAATTACAATTCTGTTTCTGTAAAATATTTTGCTTTCCATACGAATAGCTGAAAAGAATTTTCAAAATATCACTATGTGATAAGCACTTAGTATTCGTAGGATCTTCTGAAAAGCCCATCTGCTATGCAAATTAATATCTAAGAGTAACTTCTGAATGGGAATTCATAAAGGCATGGTTCAGAAAAACAATTAGCATATGTTTACCTTCCAGCGATTTCGTAAAATACAGACTTGTGCTTGAATACGTCATACAATGAGGAGTGATTTATGGAGCTGAGGTTGTACTCGTTACAACTAGTAATATCAATATATGGTTTGCTTATTAACAATATATTATTTGCTCATTCCTCCACCAAATTCAGTTCTCGGTGGTGGAAAATAAATTAATTTGTTTAATTGCTCACAGAGCATGTTGTGCATGGTTGTGTTTATTCCCCACTGTGTTGGGGCAAAAGGTGACTTTTTTCTCAGTTGCACATGTCCCAGCTGAGTGTTTCTGTGCTGTCCCTTAGTGCACTTGGTGGACATCTGGAATGTGATAGAAGCCTTGCGGGAAAACGCGCTGAACAACCTGGACCCCAACATCGAACTGAACGTGGCTCGCCTGGAAGCTGTGATTTCAACCATCTTCTACCAGCTCAACAAACGGATGCCCACGACCCATCAGATCAACGTGGAGCAATCCATCAGCTTACTGCTGAACTTCTTGCTAGCGGCCTTTGATCCGTAAGTCTGCCTTCCTTCCCTCCTCTCCCAGCTGGTGAAAGGATTTCACTTTCTCCGGAAATATCTTTGGAAAACAATCGAACCAGCTCGATTCTAACCCAAATAACAGGCATGTGAATAGTGCTAACTAGGGAGAGAACCTAAATTAAGGGCCTCTGCTTTCCTTTCTGTCGAGCCAAATTCAGCACAACTGTGTTTTCATCCAGTTACTCAGACTTGTTCCAGTTTATATCAAAGAAAAATTATCTACAGAAACAAATTTACATCCACTTCTAATTTGCCTTGTTATTTATTGACACACCAGTGGCTGACACCACTGCAATGCCTCTGCAGCAGTGCCATGGGTTAATAGCTCATTATTTTGAAAGAGCTCATTTCCCTGCAAGTTCTTGCAGCTGTAAGCAATTTTTTTTTCTGGCTCATGCCAGTGCAGCATGATTTTGAGACCATGACAGAAATAGGATTAAAGACCTGGAGGTGATGAAATTCGTGTTGTTTATTACTGCATAGGACCCATATTACAAAAAGAAGTTTGAGATAAAGTGAGCCACTTACCTTAATGAGTATACATATTACAGTTTCCTGAATACATAGTTAGCAACCTGTACTGCAATATTTACAGTCCTCAAAACTGAATTGTTGGAGTGCAGTGGTTAAGTCTGACAGATGCAGATAATCTATTGTCACTTTGTGGTTTATATTTTGAAAATTCAACACCTGAAAACACTGGCCATGACCCATTAAAATAAGGGTGCTGCCCGTCCTCCCCTCCCTCTTTCCAGTCCTCTCGCTTGGTGCCCTGCTACTGGGTGTCATTGAGCACCTTTCGGTGCCAGACCAGCCGATGGCTCAGTCACCATGGCAACAGGGAGAAAAAGTAGATGTTCCACATCAGAAGGCTGCACTCAACCTCTCCTCCAGCCCCTTGGAGGGGAAGAAAAGAAGCCAATCCATTGTGAAACTATAGCCTTCAGGAATGTTTTTCTCCCCTCAAGGGCAATAAAAGAAGGAACAGGCATTTTAATTCAGACCTGTGTAGCTGTGTCGAGAACACGAGAAGACACTGAAAATGGCCAGATGTATTCATTGCTGCACTCTACAAGCAAACTGCTTCCCAGGTGGTAAACACAGGCAAAAACCCAGGACTGGGGAAACAAGACCTGCAATAATGTGCTTGTTTTGTAGCTTACTGTAAAGGGGCAAAGATCTCAGCTCTGCTGCAAGGCTACTTGCAGCAAAATGGAGGAGAGGAATTTACTCCTCTGTAGGGAATCAGAGAATGTTCTGAAAGGTAAGGTTTTGCTTTCCCTGAAAACATCCCATCCACTGCGGTTCATGACCTGTTTCTGGTCTCCTGTCAGGCTCTCCCAAGGGTGAGGAGGCTGTGTGCCTCACACCGTTCGCCGAGGAGCAGCTGTCTGTCGTGCTGCCCCTGAGAGGAGTGAATGGGATGCACTTCCCAGAAGGACAGAGGCACCCAAGGAACCCCCAGGAAGAGGCTCGCTGCTCTGGGGTCAAAGATAGGGACTAGTTGCCTATCACCCCATTTTAAATGCACCAAACATCTGGCATGATGTTCAGGTGCAATCTAAGAAAGCTCTGTTTGGGCTTCATGGACATACATGGCAGCAATGTCTCTCTGTACTGTATTGGGAGTTTGGATACCTGTCACAAATACAGACATACCAGTTAAGCATCTGATTCTCGAAATATGCTCTGCCCTTTAGTATGGTTCATGTTACTGAAGTTTTGGGTTGGATGTTCGTTCAGTAACCACTGGTGATCCAGATTTCCTGGTTTCTGGGAAACAGAAAAGGATGTGGCTTTGTGACAGCTGCTGGGGTCTAACTGGAGCTGATGTCTCTGCTTCTCATGTTGCTCCTTTCCCTCCCCTCCAGTCCAGCAGAAAGATCATTCTCTGCTGAAGGCTACAAGGTGATGGAAGGAGGAGCAAGGTGATTTCATGCTCAGAGAGCAGCAATGCTTTGCATGTCTTCCAGAGAGACCTGAACAAGCTCAAGAAATGAGCCCATGGATATCTCGTGAGGTTTAACAAGCCCAAGGGCAAGGTGCTGTACCTGGGTGGGGGCAGTCCTCAATATCAGTACAGGCTCAGATCAAGAGCAGCCTTGCTGAGAAGGACTTGGGAGTGCTGGTGGTTGAGAGGCTGGACATGAGCCAGCAATGTGCACTCACAGCTCAGAAAGCCAAACGTGTCCTGGGCTGAATCAAAAGCAGCATGGCCAGCAGGTCAAGGGAGGTGATTCTGCCCTTTTCACCACTCTGCTGAGACTCCACCTGGAGTACTGCATCCAGGTTTGGGGTCCACAGCACAGGAAGGATTCAGAGGAGAGCCACCAAGATGCTTAGAGGGATGGAACACTTCTCCTATGAAGACAGGCTGAGAGAGCTGGGGTTGTTCAGCCTGGAGAAGGCTTTGGGGTGACCTGATTGCAGTCTTCCAGTACCTGAAGGGAGCCTACAACAAAGATGGAGAGAGATGTTCTAGAAGGATGTGTAGCGATAGGGCAAAGGGGAATGTCTTCAAACTGAAAGAGAGTAGGTTTAGACTGAATATCAGGAAGAAATTCTTCACTCTCATGGTGGTGAGACACTAGAAGAGGTTGCCAAGAGAGATTGGGGTGACCTGATTGCAGTCTTCCAGTACCTGAAGGGAGCCTACAACAAAGATGGAGAGAGATGTTCTAGAAGGATGTGTAGCGATAGGGCAAAGGGGAATGTCTTCAAACTGAAAGAGAGTAGGTTTAGACTGAATATCAGGAAGAAATTCTTCACTCTCATGGTGGTGAGACACTAGAAGAGGTTGCCAAGAGAGACTGTTGATGCCCCATCCCTGGAAGTGTTCCAGGCTGGGTTCAGCCTGGAGAAGGCTTTGGGGTGACCTGATTGCAGTCTTCCAGTACCTGAAGGGAGCCTACAACAAAGATGGAGAGAGATGTTCTAGAAGGATGTGTAGCGATAGGGCAAAGGGGAATGTCTTCAAACTGAAAGAGAGTAGGTTTAGACTGAATATCAGGAAGAAATTCTTCACTCTCATGGTGGTGAGACACTAGAAGAGGTTGCCAAGAGAGACTGTTGATGCCCCATCCCTGGAAGTGTTCAAGGCCAGGCTGGATATGGCTTTGAGCAACCCAATTTGCCCATAGCAGGGGGGTTGGAACTAGATGATCTTTGAGGTCCCTTTCAACCCAAATCATTGTAGTTTCTATGATTCTATGATACATGAAGAACAAGGCTGCGAGGCAGGACGAAGTCTTCTTACTCTCCCCCCATTTATAGAAACTGGACAGTAAAACTGAATCATCTGGAGTCTTCTCTGATAAAAAAAGGGAGGTTTATGAGGTGCGTGAATCATACCAAAATCACAACAGCCAAACAATCCTGTTATCTTTATTCTGGCTCATTCATAGATTGCTTAGCCTTGTGTTTTAAGGAAACAGTTGGCCTGCAGATATGCTACCCAAATTTCTAGGTAACTATTAAGGAATTATTTCTCATGTTTATTAATGGATGTTAATATGATCACATTTGATGCTATGAACGCAATGGAAAAATAACCAAAACCCTAAAACACCCAGAACAGCTTTTTCAGACCAAAACAGTAGTCTAAGACCAAATAACTCTTCGGAATAAATGAGAAGGCTGTTCTAAGTGATCATGGATGGGTTTGGTGTTTGTGGCTATGCAGAATGATGGCTCCTCCTGCCATGCTGTGGGCAGGTCCAGAGAAGGTGGTGCAGTTTCTCATGTCCCATTTGAAATGCAAAGGAAGTGGAGAAATGGAGCCTGTGACTTAACATATATGAAAGGACCACAAGGGACAAAGTTATTTCATGTTTTAAAATCTAATAAGCCTACCACTGTCTCATTTATTTAGTTCTATTTAAAATATGTGTTGCTCTATGTGTACTGTGCTGGCTGAAGATCCTCCAAG